ATATATATATATAAATATATATATATACACATGTGTATCACAGACCTTTCGTAATGATGCAGGAAAGAAACGTCAGAGAATATTCTTCAACGCATGACTGATCAAAAAATAACTTGGAAATAATCGGTATCATTAGCAATTTGGTAAGTATCATGATAACTATAATACCATTGTCATTGGGAGAGAAGTTGTATTCTAATTAAGTATTTGTGGTCGCATATTATACAATTATACACTGAACGTGCACTTAGAACTAATGGAGTGATAATGGAGACTGTACACAAATCGATGATATGATTGTATCATCTTTCTCGCACGCTCGCTCTCGCTCGCTCTCTCTTCCCTCAGTCTCTCTCTCTCTATGTCACCAGCATAATTTGAAAAATAGCGATTTATAGATTCTTTCTAATTTCATACGTACACACACATACAACATACACGAAACACGGTCATGAACCGTACGATTTTGTAAAATCACATTATGAATTAAAAGTAGATTGTTGCGAGGAAGTCGAGGGCAGGAAAAGGTTTTGCGCCAGGTTGGATTGTCCTGGCGGTTTATTTGACAATAATCGGCCGATGGCAGACGCAGAAGTAGCAGGATTATAGACGTTATCCAGACCATGATACGATATGAGCGCCGACAAAGCGCTCCGAACACCAGCAGTAGCCAACTGGGACCACCTCCAGTGAGAGCTCACGGCATCGTCGCCGGCATACACCGCGTGCGCATCAAAATTGCCTGGCATATGCGGTGTATCTACAGGAAAAATTATTTATCAATATCAATGCAATGGATAATGCCGGGAGTATTAAGTATGCGTATACCTAGAAGAGGTGGGATCAATATGGGAAGATGAGGATCCAGTTGTCCACCTGGTCGAGCGTTTGCGATAAGACGAAGCTCTGCGCGTAGATCCCCCAACAACTGTACCACTTTGGAATCGCACTGTAAATATTATAGATGTTAAGAAATTATAGATGTTAAGAATTAGAAAAAATTTTATATTCTTAAAAAATATTTCCTTAATCTTTAATAAATATAAAAATTAGAGATATTAATTATTGTAAATGAAGCGATTATCACAATTGATATAAGGTACATTATTACAGAAAATTATCTAAAAAAAAAAAAATCTCTTTACATAATTACCTCATTCTGGTCTGACCGCAACGCGAGAAGATCGTCGACCCGAATCGGTTTTCCCTGATTCAAGGCGTTCGAGAGAACTATCAGTCTCCGGGATAGATTATCTTCTGTACACTCCAATGATTGATCTCCCTTCAGATTCGACTGCGATTTAATGGGTGAAGTATTAAAATAGTACGATGGCGTAGACACTATGTACGGCCCGCTTTGATTAAACAAATTATCTTCACCATAATGAGCTTCTGCGCCAAGCCTGCTCGGGTATGAGTTATAGCCTGCTTCCATCTTTAGTCGTTTAGAGGACCTGTAATAAAGTTACAGGTCATGCGTGAAGATTTGATAAATACGATTTAAATAAAATAGAAACGAATGTACATAATGAATGAAATTGATTCGTCTGCATTTATACGAAATTCATTTATAATTGAGTGATTAATAATATTTTTTAAATTTTTAATCATTTAAATATTTATATACAACTTGTTAAGAAAAAACTTATGAACATTATATTTAACTTGTTAATAATTAATAAAATATTGTTGTATTTAGTCTAAAGAATAATGAAAGAATAATGGAAGATCATGCAACTAGCAAGTCATACAAACGTGTTAAAGCAAGCTCAATTATATATGCACTAAAATTACATATATACATGCACATACGTACGTATTAATATATAAAGATATAAGCGTAAAATTATATTTATTGTTTATTTATGTAACAATCTTGTAGAACAATGAAGAATAGCAAGATATTTCCTCTTCATTACGAGTTGATGCATCGGTGTACATACATATAATATCCTATATAAAACAATATTGTACAGCGGTTGTTATCGCTATACACTTCAATAATCATTTGGTTAGCTCAAGCGAATGGGTTATATGATTCACATACTTGATAAATATGAGTAAAAAATTGGACACACTGGATGTAAACACGTATTAAGATTTGAAGCTTTCATTACCTATTATATATTCTTACAAGTGTTACAAAAAGTGTCCATTTATAATTCAGCCACAATTATATTATCTCCTGAAACATAATTTTTTCCTATTAGATATTGTGCCAATTATGTTGTTTGTAATTTATCTAAAGTTATATATGTCACTTTTTACATATTCCGCAATATAAAGTGATATAGGCACGTGATATAGTTATATTAATGTTTGTCATGTCTATATGAGACAATAATTACTATATATATATATTTTTCTATATGCAATATACATTATGTATTAAAATACATATCTATATATATATGTGTGTGTATTTAAATTATATAAGTTTATATATTATATATAAATCCATTTATAAATTATTCTAATTAAACTTTACATTCTTACAGAATTTTACAACATTCTAAGGCATTATCTGGTATATCACGAGGTAACTGCATTTTACGTATTAATAATGAAACAATATTTATTATAACATTATGAATGAAAATATAGGGATGTTTATATAAATCTTTTTTTTTTGTTGAATATGTTCGTATAAACAAATTTTTGGAAGATTATATTATTTAAAAGAGAGAATCTATTAATATCGAATATTACAATTTGAATAATATAATCATTTTTTCATAAACATAATCTTTTACTATGTATTACCGATACAAATAAATCAAATAGAGATATACACAAATAAAATATATTAGATTTTAGACACTTATTGTAAATTCTTGAATAAAAGTTATATGTAAAAATATGTGACATGTTTTGAAACATTATATTTTTCAAAGCATTTTACATCATTATTTATAAATGTATATGTTATATATATA